AGCTCAGCAGACTGAAGTGCTTGCTTAGGCAAGTGCAGGGACTGTGGTTCGATCCCCAGCACTACATGCTAGCCCTGTCCTAGGGCAGGCTTAGCTGGCCAGAGTCTGCATACCCCATAGTGGCATACCTCTGTGATCTCAGCACTGGGGAGGCTGAAAGCAGGAGACTCACCATGAGTCCAAGCTGTGTAGTGAGACCCTATAACAACCAAATACACTAAAAAAATTTTATGCCAGAAGTTCAAGTGTCTGTTGTGTAACTTTGGGTAAAGCAACCAATTTGTACATTTTGGTTTCCTTGCCTATACAATAGGACAGTACTAAAAGTTTTGCCACTGTGTAATAAGGTAAGGCCTGTCCTGAACAAGAGAGGCTAGAACATAATGGCCATTGACAAGGATATAACTTAACATAATTTATAGAACTGTTCATCAGTAGAAAAGGTGGCTTTGTGAGAAATCAATCCCTGTGTTAGAACATTTAGAGGTTAGGTGGGTGTGGGTACTGCCTGAAAAGTAATATCTGCACTGAATAGGCGAGATGTTGTTTTAACCTTCTTTTACGTATACAAAGTCTTCTAGTTTAGCCATTACTGTGTACCAAACCACCCCAAAACTTAATAGCTTGAAAAAATGGCAAGAATTTATTATGTTGACAAGTCTGCAACTTATGTAAGGACAAAGCAGGGTTGCTGTGCTCAATGTGCCATTAACTGTGGCAGCTTGACAAGGGGCTGAAATATGTACATTGATGATGGCCTTGCCACATAGCTGGCTGGCAGGTTGATGCTGGCTTTCAGCTGAGAACTCAGCTGAGGCCGAGGACCAGGTGCTCTCCATGTGGCCTGGGATTCCTCACAGCATGACAGCTGGGTCTCCAGGGCCAGAGGCCCCAAGAGAGATTAGCAAAAGCTGTGTGATTTTTTTTCTAACCAATTTCTTTTTTAAAATATTTTTTGAGGGCTAAGTATCCATTAAAATGAAAAAACTCCATTATTTTATCTCTCATTATTATCAAAATTTAACTGTGAACACACATGGTAATGAGAATTTTGTATCATTGCTCAGTAAATGAATAAGATACTCACTTTTGTTTTCTTTTGGGGAAGATGCTTAACTTAGTAGCTGTAGGACATTCAGTTGATATCAGATTAGTTCCAACCTCTGAAAGTTTTGATTTTTTTAACCATTACCTTTTAAGGATTACAGTAAGAAACCACCTGAACCCCCCTTTTTTGCAATCCTTGGGCCCTTTTTTATTCTGATGCAGTGTCTCACTAAATTTGCCTAGACTCAGACTTGTGATCCTATTGCTTCCGCCTCTTGAGTTTCTGGGATTATATGTGTATAGCACTCTACTCCACATAAATTCATTTTTTTCATCATTTTGAGACAGGGTTTCACTATGCAGTTCAAGTTGGCTTTGAACTCACTTTGTAGTCCAGGCTGGCCTTGAACTCAGTGATTCTCCTGCTTCAGCCTCCCAAGTGCTTGGATTACAGGCATGTGCCGCCATGCCTAGCTGTAAATTCACTTCTTAATGGCTCTTGTAAGAGAGTAATATAAAGCATGACCTTTTCTATGTTTGGATGTGTGGAGGGAGTATGTGGAATTGAACCCAGGCCTTTACACTGAAGTACTCCTCCCATCCCTTTTTTTTTACTTTACATAATACAAGGTCTTGCTAAATCACTAATTTACTCAAGATGGACTTAAATTTACAGTCCTCCTTCCTTAGCCTCTCAGAGTCCTGAGATCACAGGTATACATCAGCACACGCAGTTATCTGTGCTTATGATTTTAGGCACTTTGAGGACTAGTAACTTGTAGAAAATTATCATGAGTCTCAGCTTCATGTTACTATTACCTTTTGTTTTGAGGAGTTTTCAGGAATTGTTGAGAAAGCACAGCAACATATATTATATCCTCAGTTTTCCCCCTGAAAATTGTGTTGACAATCTAAACAATGTTATACTCCAGTACTGTATAGCTATAGGATTAATGTCTCCCCATGAGCTAAGAAAGCTGGAATGCCCAGAGAAAGTACTTATAAGAATAGTAAATTACATTTAACTCCTCAGCATTGGTAGCTGTTAGGAGCTGAATGTCAAATTCGCATGTTGAAGGCTTAACGCCTCAGTGTGGCTATATTTGTACTTGGAGGTCAAGGCTGTAAGAAAGTAATTAAGGTTAAATGAGGCCATAAGAGTGGAGCTCTGATCCATAAGATTAATATCCTTTTAAGAAGATTCACCAGGGAGCTAGAACACTCCCTGTGTGAGAATCAGAATGTGTATTCATTCTCATCCTTCTCTTCCTTCCCCTCCCAACACAGAGGACAGGCCTGGGACAAAGGGCAGAAACTTTTTGCAGCTGGAGCTGACTAAGATGGGCTGCCATAATAAAATTTGACCCAGAGTGAGTGGGTTAAATAGCAGGACCTCTCATGACTCCATGTAAACCTAATTACCTCCCAAAGGCCCTCCACCTCCAAATACCATCTCCTTGGAAGTTTGGGCTTCAACATAGGAATTTTGAAGAGACATAAATAGTCAGTCCATAAAACAGCCTTAGCCATTTTATAAGAAAACAGCTCAGTGATTTAAAAGAATATATTGGGCCTGGGGAGATAGCTCAGTACAATAAGCGCTTGACTGGCAAGCACAGGGTCCTGAGTTCAATCCCCAGTACCACAAAAATAAATAAATAAATAAAAATAAAAGAATGTATTTTTTATCTTTGCAGTAAGTCTTAATTCCAAGTAACAATTTATATACATGAAATTTACCAGTATATACTATAACATACATCATTTGTCATGCAGAAAATACTAGGTAAATCCTTACAAGTAACAAGTGTTGTTTTATTTTTATCCAAATATTTTCACCTACTTAATTCTCATGTAAGTTTGCTTATAGGTGTGCAAATTTATCTATGTCTTAGGCAGAGATCATTTGGCCCAAATCATTAACACCAAACTAACTCCCCAGTAAAATACACACAAAATTTTACAAAAACATGAAAAGAAGTTTCTAGTACAATAAAATAAACCACTACTGAGACATGAGGATTCCTCTTCCCCACTGAGCTTGAGACCTTGGTAGAGATAGGTCAACTCTTTTAACTTTTCGCTCCACCTATTTTGTGGAATTTTTTATCTTACTAACCCCACTGTGGGAAGTGGACTGGTGCCAAGAAGACCAGCAGAAAATGACCAGATCATGTTTTTATCTTCTCTAAGGTCTAAAGCAGAAGATACTTAAACCACTCTTTTATGTTTCTTCTTCTTACTTTGAGGCCTGGATTAGCTCAGGACTCCAGTGAGCCTGTTCCATGACTACATCCTCATCCCCTTCAACTTTTTTTTTTCTACTAGCTTTTTGAAATGAAAAGCAGCCTCAGACTCCTTTGACTGCAGGCATTCAGGAGAAGGAAATATAAAAAGACCTGGCAAGACACTGAAAGAAATGCTTCTACCAGGCTTTGTATATAGTTTACATATCTTTTATTTTCCTACTCAGAGGATGGCCAACTTAGTGACCCCGACAATAACATTTTATTCTTTTTTTTCTTGTACTACTGGGGATGTATCTCAGGGCCTCATGCATGTTAGGGAAGTGCTTTATTACTGAGCTATACCCCCAGCCCTACTGTCTTATTCTTGATCAATATCAGAGTCCCACTTCTTTGATGATAGGGTGAAGAAAGAAAGGGGTATGGCTTGAGCAGCCTCAAATTCCCCTTAATAGAGTAAATGATTATCAAACTTAGTCACTATTCACATAATAACTCATAGACCTGTGGTGGTAAACATATGGCACAAATGCCACACCAGGCCATTATCATTAACAACTCTAAAAGGTTCATCACCACTGATATAGACCATCTACCCCAGGTTATACTTTGAGGTAGTCAAGACTAAGTAATTAAGATGGATTCAACAAGTATGTGTGGAATGTCTCTGTAATAGCAGACACTGTTGTAGGTGCTGGAGACAAGGGTGCACTAAATAGACCATCCCTTTCCTCATGTAGCTTATGTCTTAAGTGCAGAGGGGAGGCAGACAATAAATAGTGTATAATATATTTTAGAAGGAAGGTATTATAGTATAGTATCAAGAAGATTAAAACTTCATTGGAAAGAAATCACAGTGGCCTTTTAGTGACTAGATAGATCTAAACAAGGGCTTCATGAATGCTAAATAGTCTACCATTCAGCTACACCCCCAACCCCAGTGACTGCATTTTCAAAGCTCAGTTAAGAGATCAATGTGTTAGATTCAAAGTATACTATTTATAGATTATATGAGCTACTGTTTAGAATATCTAGGTGTTTTTTTTTTCTTGGAACCGGGGATTGAACTCAGGACCTTGTGCTTGCTAGGCAAGTGCTTATTCTACTGAGCTATCTCCCCGGCAATGGATATGGGTAGGTGTTTGTTTGTTTGTTTGTTTGTTTCTGGTACTGGGGATTGAACTCAGGACCCTATGTTTGCCAGGTGGGTGCCTATGCCACTGAACTATTTCCCCAGCTGTTTAGAATATATAAGGAAGGAAACAGTAAAATTTCATGACTTGATGTCTTTTATCTACTGGGAGAAAAAAAATGTCCTGTTTATTTTCTTACTGTGTTGCAAAGATTAGGAATTTATTTAGCTCTAAGAACTGTACCTGACATTCAGTAGGCACTTAATTGATTTTGTTGAATAATATTTATAATACTCAAAGTATGTGCTTTGTCCTTGCAGGTTGATATAAAAGATTACATGTTCAACGGGCTGAAAGATGAAACAGTAGGTCGCCTACCTGGCAAAGTGGCAGGACAGCAGTTTTTCATTCAGGATTGTGAAAACTGTAACATCTATATTTTTGACCACACTGCTGCAGTTACTATTGATGACTGTACTAACTGCATAATTTTTCTGGGACCCGTGAAAGGCAGTGTATTTTTCCGGAATTGCAGAGATTGCAAGTGCACGTTAGCCTGCCAACAGTTTCGTGTTCGGGATTGTAGAAAGCTGGAAATTTTTTTGTGCTGTCCCACTCAACCCATTATTGAATCATCTACAAATATCAAATTTGGCTGTTTTCAGTGGTACTACCCTGAATTAGCTTTCCAGTTCAAAGATGCAGGGCTAAGTATCTTCAATAATACATGGAGTAACGTGCATGACTTTACGCCTGTGTCGGGAGAGGTCAACTGGAGTCTCCTTCCAGAAAACACGGTGGTCCAGGACTATGTTCCTATTCCTACTACAGAAGAGCTCAGAGCTGTCCGGGTGTCCACAGAAGCCAACAGAAGCATTGTTCCTGTATCCCGCGGTCAGAGACGGAAAGACAGTGATGAATCATGCTTAGTGATATTATTTGCTGGTGATTATACTATTGCAAATGCCAGGAAACTAATTGATGAGGTAAGAAAAGAAAAGAAATAGATTTATCCCTGGATAGAAATATCCTACTCTAGATAACTTCTATTATTTTAAAATTGACTATTAGAAATACTATGTGAAATTGTACTTTCATCTCCATCTATGTCATCTCTCCCCGCTCCCCATGAATGTGGGTTTGCGCCTGCACAAAAAGTCTGTAAGTAGGTTAGCTGGGCCTCAAAATATTTTCACAAGGCAACTTTTAAAAAAATATAATTCTGGACCAGGCATGGTAATATATACCTATAATCTGAACACTCAGGAGGCTGAGACAGGAGCATTGCTGTGAGTTCAAGGCCAGGCTGGTTCAAGGCCACCCAGAACTATACAGAAAGACCCTGTCTCAAAAAACCAAAAAATATAGATAGACAGGCTGATTTCAATTCAGTAAGAAATTATTAAGCACTAATTATGTACAAGTTATTGTTACCATATTTCATGTATTTCTGGCTCTTTATTTTGTTTATTTATTTGTGTTTTGGTACCAGGGATTAAACTCAAGACCTTGTGCTTTCCAAGCAGGTGCTTATGCTGCTGAGCTATCTCCCCAGTCTCATATTTCATGTATTATACAATACACATTTGCTTTTCATATTTTTGCTTATTTTAAATGCAACTTGTAATTGATCAGAACTTACAAACAATAGACTACAGACTATGTAACATGTGTTCCACCCATGTAAACCCAGGCAGGATGATCACAAGTTCAAGAGCAGCCTGGGCAACTTAGCAATTTCATGAGGCCCTGTCTCAAAATTTAAAAGAAAAATAAAAAGCACTGGGTATTTAGGCCAATGTGAAGGCCCTAGCTTCAATCCTTGGTACTGCAATCAATCAGTCAATCAAAATAATGAACTACAGCATGTGCTGGATATAGAGATGCATAGACAAAATTCTGAGCCCTCAGACAGTTTCCATTTTTTCTAAGAAGTGCTTTTCACAGATGCTCACAAAAGTTGTATCATATAGTAAAGAGTTATTATTTTTTTGGCAGAACCGGGGATTGAACTCAGGTCCTTGTGCTTGCCAGACAAGCACTTATTCTACTGAGCTATCTCCCCAGCCCTAAAGTGTTATTTTTAATAATTGTTTGCTAGAGAAATGTCTTCAGCATTTTAATTAGCTAGGGGGTAGAAAAGTCATTGAGAAATACACATTTTGGACCATCTTGTGACTCAAAGATAGTCTATGCTATGTTTCTGATTTTCTACTGCCCTATTGCCATAGAGCGGTGGTTATGGAAATGTGAGCTGGAAGTCAGGATGCCATTCCCAGGATGGCAAAGGTTATAATAGGCTTATGAGCAGCAGCTCCTGGTGAGCTCAATAGTAGAATTTTCTGAGTGTCAACTTCACCTGAAAAATAACTGGGGTCAGAGGGACTCCAGAAGCAGCAGTTGCTTTGTCAGTAGGTGCTCTATTAGGGAGGCACAGTAGAATGTATTGATTATCCATTCATCATTTCTTCAGAAGGAACATGTTTGAACTTAAAAATCAAACTTCCAGAAATGGAGAAGTGAATGGAAAACCCAAGTGTCTTTCTGAAGAGATTATTTAAAAAGTTGAAACATATCAAGAGGAATAATTTTGGGAAAAAAAACCTAAAACATGACTACCTCCCTATAGCTATATATTCTATAATGTAGAAAACTCATGTGTGAAATGTGCAAAGTATATCTGAGATACAGTTTTCAAAACAATATAAGCCAAAATATAATATAATTTTCTTTCTTTCTTTCTTTCTTTCTTTCTTTCTTTTTTTTTTTTTTTTTTTTTTTTTTTTTTTTTTTTTTTTTTGGCGGAACCGGAGATTGAACTCAGGCCCTTTTGCTTGCCTGGCAAGTGCTTATTCTACTGAACCATCTCCCCGGCCCCAAATATTTTCTTTTATGATTATGCCAATCTGATAAAAGCAGGTTATGAATCTGATACAAAAAAATATGCTCTGGCTCTTCTAACCATCTAATCATATGTTAATCCAACATTGGAGAGGTATATACAATCATTGTATTATATGGTGATTAATTTTAAGAAGCTGTATTTAGTCTTAAGAGAATTAAATTTTCAGGTTAAACTCTGGTAGGTAATCAAAAGTGGTCGTAAAGAATATTTAACATGGTAAAGAGAAAAGCCATCAAAGCAAACAGTATTTCTTTGAGTCATCAGATGTCTTAGCCTTAAAACCTGTGGTATCTGATTGTGCAATGGCAGTGTCCTGTGCTCTCAGAAGGAGTCTAACCAAGAAGAGTGATGTTCTTTAGATGACTTTCTGGAGTATAAAAGCAAAAATTTCACAATGCTAGTAATAATGGCTAGTGCTTTACATAGTGTTTATGCAAGAAAAATTGTAAGGGATTTAAATGAATTAACTAAATGTTCAAAACAACCCTATGAAATAGATTCTATTATTCCTCTTTTAAGATAAGGAGAATGAATCACAGAGAGGGTAATTAGCCAAAGGTCACTCAGCTAGCCAGTAAACAGCAGAGCTATGACTCATACATAGGTAGTCTGATTCTGTAGACTACAGGCTTAACCATTAAATGTCAGGCTGTTACACTGCCTCAGTGGTGAAGGAAAACTGATGCATGCCAGGTGGAGCAAAAGTGTAAATGACAGCATGTGGATGCAAGTGCTCTCCAACCTAGGGAGCTCTTTGATAAGAGTTGTCTAATTCTAAAAGCACAGAAACAAGGAATTAAAAGAGGAAAACTAAGAAAGAAAAAGAAAGTGCCAAATACATGTGAAAAGAATATACAGACATGCTGAAAGACAAAAGATTTGCATACTGTGTTAAGAGAGCTTACTTCCCAGGGAAATATTTGTAGAAACTAGTTAATTCTTAGTTGGAAAAGAAAAACTTGTGTCTTTCTCATATCATGAATACAAGCATCCTAGGATAGTTTAGACTAGAAATGTGATTGTATACATTAGCTCTGTTAAGTCCCAGAATTGCCACAGAATTTCGTTTCACATTGTATTTATAAATAAACATATCAGTGTTTTCTCATATAAAATTTGAAAGCATAAGAAGCCTGGAAAGCTGCAGAAAACACATTCCATACAGAGTCAAGAAAAGTTATTTCGTTTTGGCTTTCTCACGTAAAGGTCAGATTCTTGCTTGCTCTTACAAGCTTTACATATACACACAAGATAAAGTAGTTTGAATTAAGCTATTTTGAAATCTTTAGAAACAGAAGAATTTTTATGGGAAGAAGTCTTCAATATTTTCATGAATATATTAAAATATAATTCATAGCTCATTTTTTAGATAATAGTATTTTTAATTAATCCAAATTTTGTCAATTTGTGCATTTGACTACAGAATAATAGTTGAGAAGCAGTGTAGAAAGTTAGCAATGGAAGTAGGGTTATCTCTGGTCTTTTAAGTAACTTTACAGTCATCATCTGGCAGTGATGGCCATGTAATTTCCTGCAACTTAAGGATATGTTTCTTTTTTCAGAGATAGCATTGAGTGAAAGTTCTGAAAGAATTAATGTTTGAACCAATGCGATAAAATGATATGGAATAATAGGATCATAGGATAAAATACCATCAACTACTAAAGCTGATTTTGTAGTAAAATAATTAAAAAATATTCACAAGCAAGGAAAATTTTATTTTAAAAAATGTAACTTATTTTTAAACAAATAGGTCTGAAAAGTTACATATACTAAAATATTGCCAACTGGGTAATTCTTAGGAAGTTGATTATGAGCAGAGTTTCCTTCTTTGTGGCTCTGGATTTTAAAAAGAATACACATTATTTATTTAATGAAGGACAAAGAAAACTGGGGGCATAAATTAAAGTATGTGTACCTATGTGGCAATGGACAGTCACTTCTACTTCTTAATTTTTCAAATGTGAGAGTATGAATATATATATATATATATATATATATATATATATGAGTCCACGAAAACTGCATATACACTTCAGTTTGCTGTACTTATAAATGTCTGAAAGCTAATGGCCAGCACTTTTGAGCTCTTCTTGTAATTATAGAGGCCAAAGTAACATATTAATTTCATAATGTCTCAATAAATTTAATATGAAAATATTTATACAAGTTTCTTTTCCTCGTGCATACGTTTTTGGCAGTGTCTGTGGTTCCAGTAACTTTTCATCTTAAAAAATTATTGTCAAACTATTCTCACAATTATTTTTTAAATTAATATATACTTAGAGTGAACTATAGAAATAAGGAATAGTAAAGATAATTTTTTTAATCATTCATAATTTATTATACCTTAAACAGTCTTTAGGAATAGTATTTTGAATTATTTAATCTGTAATCAGATGAATTAGGTTCAAATCATAGCTGTTACTTAATAGTATAATAATCTTGGGCAAGTGTCTTAACCAGTTTATCCCTTTGTAATCTCATCCATATAGTGAATATATATATATATATATATATATCATGAGAGGGCTAAATGTATTATACATGTAAAGTATCCTGGTATATAGTAAATATTCTGTAAATTTGATCTAGTATTGTGCTATATTGTACAAATTTGTACCATGGGCTTTTAAAATTAACAATATTACATAAGATTCTTCCCATTGTATATTTTTGTTATAGTTAAATGAACTATGATAAATGTAGTTAACTATAGTATTTCATCATGTAAATACCATAATTTATTTAACCATTCTCATATTGAATATTGTCAGTATCACCAAACTAAAACTTCCATCTGGTAGTTTCAGTTTTTCTCCAGCATTGGGGATGGAACATGGTCCCTTTGCACTGAGCTATATCCTTAGCACTTTCTTTACTTTTTATTTTATTTTATTATTTTTATTTATTTTTTTGTGGTACTGGGGATTGAACTTAGGACCTTGTGCTTGCCAGGCCAGCACTTATTCTACTGAGCTATCTCTCCAGCCCTACTTTTTATTTTAGATCTCACTAGGTCAATAAATTTCCCAGGCTGGGCTGGAATTTACAGTCCTCCTGCCTCAGCCTCCCAGAGTGCTGGGATTATAGGCACACATCACCATACCCACTTTAATTATATTTTAAATTGAGGGATAATTAACATTTAATAGTTGACTCTTATTTTTTTTTTTTTGTAGTTGACTCTTAATCTTAACAGCAGGCATTACAGTACTAATTTTTAATGATGTTTTATTTTTGTTAGTACATGTTTGCAATTCATGCAGTTCACAAATACCTAAGGGAGTGGTTACATGTACATATTACAGCATTTTTTATGTGTTTGGTACAGGGTCTCACTATGCAGCTCACACTTGTAGTGATCCTGCTGTTTTCAGCCTCCCTAGTGCTGGGAGTACAGGCATGTGCCACTATGCCTGGTCTCAGTGGCTGGCTCAGTGCCCCTGGGGGTGGGGCTTGTGTGGCATGTGGTGCAAGGGATCAAATTCTGGTCCCCGTGCTTGCCTAAGCAGGTATTTAGTCCGCTGCTATCTCCGCCACTCTAGCATGTTTCTTAGCTCAGTAATGTGTTTCTTTCTTTTCTTTTAATTTTGCTAAACTTTTATTATTTTGAAAGATTAAGTTGGAGTATTTGTTAAGACAATTCATTTATAAAAGTATTTCTACATCTGTCCTTTTTGCACTTTATCTAAATAGAATACTCATAACTTCCAGATAACTCTGATACATAATGATTATTCTATGCATTGTACTCCAATATCCAATTTTTGTAGAGTAGAATGTTTCTTCTACAAAATCCCCTTTCTCTTTCTTCTCCCTCCCTCTCTTCCCCCAGTTCCCCTGTCCACTTTTTCATACTTGTTAATATTGTCACAGCTCACATTTATGACTTGTAGTGTTTACAGTAATAAGGGTTATTAGGATCCTGTATGTGGCATATTTTTATTCCTCTCATTTTCTCTTCCTTTCTTCCTCACCCCTAGTCCTGGAGTTCCCTTGGACCACTTTTCTGTTGTAAGACATCCATCCACTTGTCCCCTTCTATCCATCCTTTATCATTTTCTTTGTACTTTGCCTCATTCATAAGCTTGTGTGTCTGATTTTTTTTTACTCAACCTCATATTTTCCAACAAAATGTCTCAAATGTGGAATTCTATATAGCCAAGTAGTATTCCATCATGTACAGATACCACATTTTCTTTATTCTCTTCTGCTGATGAAGAGACAGCGTCTAGTATTTAGCTATTATAACTTGTGCTCCACAGTGGTGCCTCTGTTTCTCCTCTACTGCATGGGCCACCTCCTTTGTATCACTGACTCCTACATTTTTCTCCTCTGCCAGTCCCCTGGGTCTCTTGTCACTTCTGTTCCTCTCCAAGCCACTGTCCTCTAGACTCCAGACACTTTAACCTAGAGAAATTGAGTCGCTGATGTTCACTGATCCATCATTTTGTCCCTACACTACCAATTCTTAATCAGACTCACCTATCTGTAAGAAGGAATCTTACAAAGTTGTAAGACTTGATTCTTTTCATGATTCTGGTTGTAAACTGAGCTAAATGAGAACCAAATCAAATTTGTTGGTTAGAATTAATGTTAACTTCATGGGGAAATTTGATTTGGCTCTCATTCCGTTTGGCTTGCAATCAGAAAAATGGAGAGAATGGAGTTCGTGAACCAAGGATCCTGTATATTTGAGAATGTGTTATTGAAAATGCCTTGATTTAGAGTTAATGACAAAGCAAAAAAAAAAAAAACAGCATGCTGTGTTTAATTTTTTTACAGAAAAATGCTTAAATATGGTAACATTGTTTTTATCTCAAATGTTTATTTTAAAATCTAAATGAAATTTTATTTTTCGCAGATGGTTGGTAAAGGCTTTTCCCTAGTTCAGACAAAAGAAGTGTCCATGAAAGCTGAGGATGCAAAAAGGGTTTTTCAGGACAAAGCACCTGACTACCTTCCCCTTCTGAGTAAAGGTAACTTGTGGATGATTGGTATATTTCTTTGTTGTTTTCCTGACATTCTGATTTGATTTATTTTTACTTTAACATTTTTCTTACCTTGTCTTCTCATTTGTTATATGTTTTTCCTATTACTGTTCAGACATACAAGATTTTCACATCATGTAGGAGGAACTGACTACATATCAGGCACTAGTGCTTTTCTTGTTATTAGTGTTTAATAGTCACATGCTATGTGCTTGTTATTTTTAGCTATTATCATGCTTTGACTGTAGTGAGTTAACTTTTTATACTACCTGCCTGAAGTTGCAAAGCACTTGATATGCTTTGACCATACTGAGAAAGAAATAAGATAAAGTGATAAACTATTTTATGTATTTAATATGATTGATTAACTTATCATGTTTTCAGTTCACAGACTCATTAGAATTTCCCCATTGAGCATCACTAATACATTTAAGATATTGGATATGTTTCTGCAAGATAGGAACTGGGGTGTAGCGTGCTACTTCCCTTTTTTGATGCTATTCTGACTCTAGAGGGCAGAGTGCTGTATATCTGCTCAGAGTTGGGGACTTGTTTGCTCAAAGCTAAATTTTAATTTTAAAAAAAGGAAATCTTTAAACTTAATGGACATCCTAAAGTGTGAAGGTTAGGAATGATATGAACATAGGAGTAGGACTAAATTAGTGATTTATTATTTGTGTGATGTTACTGAAGTAGTATAACAGTGCTCTAGCCGAAATAAAAGTATCTGCATTTTGTTCTATCAGTGTAAAACCGAGAACTAAAACAGAGCTTATAGGAATTTCAAGAAATAAGCATCATAGAAGTAGGTCTTAAAAACCAGAGATGAGGCAGGAGGATCGCTGTGAGTTTGAGGCCAGCCTGGGCTACAAAGTGGGTTCAAGTCTAGCCTGAACTGCATAGTGCAACCCTGTCTCAAGACAGACAGACAGACAGACAGACAGACAGACAGACAGACAGACAGACAGAGAAAGCGAGCGCCATAGGGAAGTATCCAAAGACTGATGAAGTCAGAAAGTCACAAGGGCCAACTTGAAGGAGTTTCCACCAGACAAATTTGGGCACAATTTTACCATTACAAAGAATGTTGGAAGCTGAAAGGTGTAGCTCAGTGGTAGAACACTTGCTTAGCATGTGTAAGGCCCTGAGTTCATTACCCAGTGAGAGAGAGTGAGACAAGAGACAGAGACAGAGAGACAGACAGAAAATCAGACAGATGGAGAAAGGGAGGGAGCAGGAGTACATGAGGAGAGGAGAGAAAGATAAGGGGAAAAAAGAAAATGAAGGTAATAATTTCACAACAGAAATCCATGCCTCAGTGGTGATAAAGAAAGGAGAAGAGGAAATAAAAAACACTCCTGTGGGGCCAGAGATATAGCTCAGCAGCATAAGCACCTACCTGGCAAGCACAAGGTCCCAAGTTAGATCCCTAGTACCACATGCTGTGCCGGCCCCAGAGCCATGGAACTCCAGAACCCTGGGTGCACTGTTCCAGCCACTGAAACCAGGCCTGGTGGCACACGCCTGTAATTCCAGCATTGGTGAGGCAGAGACAGGAGGATCACTATGAGTCTGAGCTGCATAGTGAGACTCTGTACAAAATAAATAAATAAATAAATAAATAAAACCTTATTAAGTGAAAATTTAAATTCTAGTTTATAAGACGGAAAGGAAATGTGCTAAATGACACCAGGAGGAAACAATGAGCTAAATCCAAAATAAAAGACATTCAGTAAGACAACTACCTAGATTTCTTCAGGCACTATTGGAAAACAGAAAAGATTCAGGAACGCTTCTGGATTAAAAGAATCTGAAGAGACCTAATAGGTGAATGCAATAAGTGAGCTTTGACTCCATTTTGGATTGGGGTGAGCTGTGCTACAAAGCTATAAACGGCATTTGTGAGATAAACTGAAGTATAAAAATGATATGGAATTATTTTTATTTCCTGAGGTACGATAACAGTATTGTAGCTGTATAGGAGAAGCATGCTGAGTGTCATGTTAACAAAACAAAAAGCAGGAAGTATATACACATGGTATGTAATATACAATAAAACAAATATGGCCAAATTTTGACTTGAAAGGTTGAGGTTAAGGGCAAGGGAGACTTATGCTGCTCTTTCAATTCTCCTATAGTATTTGAACTTTTTCAAAATAAAACCTTGAGGGCTGGCGAGATAGCTCAGCAGACTAAGCACCTACTTACACAAGCTCAGGGACCGGGGTTCGATCCCCAGCACCACATGCCATGCCAGCCCCGCCTACAGGGGCACTGAGCTGGCCAAGACTGGGCATGGTGGCTCACACCTGTAATTCCAGCACTGGGGAGGCTAAAAACAGGAGGATCACTATGAGTCTGAGTTGCCTAGTGCTGCCCTGTACCAAATACATTTTAAAAAATAATAAAGATAAAAACTTGAAGAAAATTTAAAAACTGCCCAGTTATGTATTGGTTCATGGGGAAGAGTAAGTAGGCTGCCAAGCAGGAATTAAGGTGTCTATGGATCATCCAAAGACAAAGTTTCTCAAGCTTGACACTATTGATGTTTTAGACCACATAATTATGTATTATGGGTTGTTATCCTTTGCCTTATCAGATGCTTAGCAGCATTTCTGGCTTCTATCTCCTAGATGCCAGTTGCTCTAGTTATTGCAACTGAAATTGTTTTTACACAATGTGAAATGTCCCCTGGGGGGCAAAATTGCTCCTAGTGGAGAAACACTATTTTAAGGGTAGACTTACACTTTTGAAAATTTACTTACATCACAGTTTGCTACCACCTCAAAGTGTCTACATTTTCCTCTTCAGTTAAAGTAGTCACAATTATTTTTTACTTCATAAAGCTATTTGACTGCTTAAAAAAGCATTTAATGCTTTCCATTTTGAGAAATTTCAAAATCTAATCCTCAAATCTATCTAGGGTGCTTTTATTGTTTTATTTTTACTTTTAATTTTTAGTACCAAAAATCAAACTCAGGATCTTGTGCTTGCTCTTGCCTTGCAGTCACTGTGCTGCTGAGCTATATCCCTGGCTAGGGGTGGGGTTTTTTTCCATAATTTTATTGAGAGACAAATAGCAATGAGACAGCTTCAAATCAAATTGGTAGGACACTTTTAATAATTAACACATTGCATACATGCTTCCTAGTGGTTATATGCTGTACAAGATGCGGACATGATATCCTATTTACAAACACTATTAGAACAAATCCCTCTATTCATTAAGAGAATGTAACTATATATCCTAACCATTTTGAACACACATATACAAAATGGACATTCATCTGTATCCCCTGTTTTTGTTAAGTTCCGTTATTTGAATATTATAGGTGTGTTAACTCAGCAAAATATTCTAAAAGAGTCCAGTAGTCCATAATAGTATTGGGTCTTCTGCTTGACGGGCAGTGTCAGAAATTGTTAACCTGAGTCCCCTACAGTTCAACATAACACCATGGCTTTACTTTTTATTCTTCATTTTTATACTTTTCTGCTGGATGGTTAAGACCAAGATAAAGCAAGACCTATGCAAGAAGAGTTGTAGCTTTTGGGTCTGATAAGGTCAGTGAAATCCCCTCAGGATTTATCCTGAGATCCTGTACCTCAGATTGTAGAACCTTTTCAGTGTCAGCCATGTGGATGAGTCACAGCCATTGCTTGGCCAATGTGCTCTCTGTGAAAGCCTGAGAGAATGTTTTCTCTCCATGTGACTCTCCTGAGGCACACACTACATCATCGATCACTTTCCTCTTTGGCCCCATAATCTCCTTGATCAGAAAACTTGGGACACTCCTGAGTTACATGACGTTACAGTACAAGTTCTCATATGTCCTGAGTCTTAATTGACCTTGGAAGGCTAGGGCCAAAATGTTGGCTTTCCTTGCGGCCCTCCTTTTTCTCTAATTTTGGTCTGCAAACTTAGGGTGCTTTTAAAAATAAAAATTTCCAGCCAGATGTGGTAAAGCATGCTTATAGTCCCAGCTACCCCAGAGTCTGAAGTGGAAGGATTGCAAATCTGAGACTAGCCTAGCCAACATAATGAGACACTAAAAAAAACTATATACAAATATGTGTTATGTATAATTAATATAAGATTACCACCCCACACCTCAAAAAGTGATTCCGGACTGGGAAGATATCTCAGTGGTATAAATGCATTCCTGGCAAGCGCAAGGACCCGGGTTCAATCCCGTTGTTACCACATGCCCCCCATCCCCCATGCCATGCCAGCCCTATGCTGTGTTTGCCAGGCCCGGGCATGAAATTGGGTGTAGTGATGCACACCTGTAATCCCATAGCTAGGAAAGTTGAGACAGGAAGATCACTATGAGTCTGAGCTGCGTAGCAGAACCCTATACCGAATAAATAAATAAAAGATTTTTAAATATTACATTGGTAAAAAAAAAATACTATTAACTCAAACTATAGCCTTTAGTAAAATTTTACCTATTTATCCACTTTTTTTTGGCTCAAAATCTAAGAATTTAATCTAAGATCTCACATTACTTTTTTTGCTGTCTCCTTAATCTTTTCATCTGTGATAATTCCTCAGTATTTCCTTGTTCTTTATAACCTGAAACTTTTGAACAGTTCTGGTCAGTTATTTTGAGAGTGTCCCTCAGTTTGGGTTGGTCTGCTGGTTTTTTTCTGGGTATACTAGAGATAACAGATTTAGGAAAAAGGTGAAGTACCCTTCTGTTCAACTCACATTATGGGGCACATGATATCAAAATGGGGTGGTAGCTACCAGGTTTTTCCTTTGTAAAATCTCTGGGTTTTTTTTTTCTCTGTACTGGTTTTTGGAAGTAAGGTAACTAAGAGTAGCCCACAATCAAGGACAAGAGAATTAAGCTCTGAATTAAACTCCACCTCCTACAGAAAGGAATGTCCACATATATTATTTGGAATTCTCTTAAAAGTTTTGCCCTTTCTTCCCCATTTATTTATTTAGTCTTTTATTTCTACCAGTATTGACTCATAGGTGTGTA